CATGTCCTCTCTAACTGCATCCATGTCCTCTCTAACTGCATCCATGTGTCTCCTTTGTCTTTTTCCTGGCAGTTGCATTTCTAACATCCTCCTACCAGTATACCCACTGTCCTTCCTCTGGACATGTCATCTTGATTTCTGCTACTTCCAGTTCTGTCTCCTGTTTTTGTGTCCATGTCTCTGTCTCCAGACCACTCGACATAGCAGGTCTCACCACTGTCTCCAGTAAACTAAAGGTGAACAACTGTTCAATCCAATAAAGTCTTGAAGGTTCAGGTGTGTTCCTGTGCTGCCACTTGGTGGAGGTTTCTGGTAACTGCAACGTCTCTGCTGCTAATATCTGTTTTGTACATTTCAAATATCTGCACTTTAACAGTACCACCATTAAAAGTAGTAGTTCCCAAAGCTGGGTCAGGAAACGGATCAAGAATCAAGTTACTTAAAAAGTTACTCACCAAAACCACATTTATCTCTCTGTTGCAATGAGATCAACAATAACTATGGGATTTAAATTTGTATTCACAGAGTATTTTAAAATGTCCGGTTCTCCCGTACGGAACATGAGTAGTGATGTTTCTGTGAGTTCATGAGAGCATTTGATAAAAACCTGACGAAATTAAACATAAATAAAACTCAATATCTTTAGGTTTTGTCAGGAAACGATTGTGTTTCTTATCCGCACGCCCAAAAATTAGATAAATAAAAACAGATGAAAATAAACATGTAGCTGATTCCCCCCCAAAAAGACAATAGACGGTTAACAAACCATTTTGAAATAAAGAATAAATAAAGAAAACCAAATAAAGACAACGTGTTAGCCATTATTTTGTGGTGATTCTGTAGAATTTTATTCAGCAAATATATATATATATATATATATTTAGAATGATATACAGATTGCTCTCTAATGAGAGTTATATAAGATAAAATCAAATAAATTAACTTAATTTAGTAAATCCAATGAATACCATCAACGTCAGACAGTTTTATAAAATATGGACATGACAGGAAACCAAAGCATTCTGACATGAGATCAAAGGCCCAAAATTAAATCATTTTGAAGATCAAAGGCTGCTACATGTCTGATTGCTTTATGACTCAGGAGATATACGGATGATATGAGATTATATTTAATGTTTCATGAGTTTAAATATGAAAACAAAGTCAAGATTTACTTTGTTCACTTCCCAACACCAGAGGTTCTCAAACGTCCAGGGTCTGGAGCTCCACAGGGACAAACAACTCCAGGGACTCCATCCGTTTTAAAGATATACTTTTTTATATTTTTATACTGCTATACTACAATATAGGACAGTATCATACTTTTATTATTTCATTTGATCCTAATGTTTATTAAATGTTTTAATGTTTAATGGTTATTGCTGCACCAGGAGAGTAATGTAATTTCAATCCTGTTAATATTGCACTTTTGACAATAAAGTTGACTTTGATCATAAACTTCAAGCTGGTTGAAAATTATAATTTTTAACCCCAAATTGCCTGGAAATTATTTATTTATTTAATTATTTAGGTCTATATGTTAGTTTTACTGTACTGGGGCTGTGGTAGCTTAGTGGTCAGTGCTGTGGTCTTGTAATCCTGAGGTTGCGGGTTTGAGCCCGGGAACAAACGGCTAAATATTTTGTGCGAGCTCGCCCGCTGTGGCGACCCTTGAAGGGAGCAGCCGAAAGAAATAAACTTTTTATATTTGTTCTACTGTAGAATTGGTCCCTGTGTGTGTTTATACACTTTTCTTTAAATGATTTGACAAAACTAATAATTCAGTGTAATTTACCGTATTTTCCAGACTATAAGTTGCACTTTTTAAAAATAATTTGGCCAGTTCTGTGACGTACCGTCCGAAACGACTTATATACGTTTTTTTTTTCCTTATTCATCATGCAATTTTTGACTGACAGGTTAAATGTTCGTTAAACATTATCATTTGCAGCCACGAGAGGGCCCTCCAGGTTTCTGACAACTACATGTTCCTCTACCTCCAATATTACCCGTGACTTACTTGTCGTACTCGTTGGCTTGTTATGTTAATTAATCCTGTTCCGGATCAAAGCTATGTTCAGTGTCTTCTTGTTATTTCAGATTAAATGTCTGTTCTTGCACTTTGTGAAATACACGTCTAAATAAATGCGTCCTATACTCCGAAACGACTTATAGTCTGGAAAATACGGTATTTTGAGGACCACTAAGCTGCTTCTCGTGGACCCCTGGTGGTCCAGGGACCCCAGTTTGAGAACCTCTGCCCCACAACACACTAGAGTTAAAACAGGAAAAGTGGATTTGTCATGATTGACAGTTTAGTTCGGTCCGTCTTGTAGTGAACAAGCAGCTAATTCCAGCTGTGTGAAATAACTGCAGCTGGATCGGAGCTCATCTTTTCACAAGTCGGGTCTCTGGATCAGGACTCAAGTCAGGAATCGCTGTGAAGGCCGGCAGCTGAAGGTCAGATCCTGTCACCATGGAAACCACCTGAGAAGATCATCAGATGAAAATGTTCATCTTTAATCCACAAAAGTCCAACTTTTCACCGTTGGATTAAGTTATTTCAGACTTTATGTTTCTGTTTCTTTCTCCAGTCTGCTGGTCAGTTGTGTCTGACTTCACCCATTCAAGCAGGCTCAAGGTCAAGGTCAAGGTCAAGGTTTCTTTATTGCCGTTCGCATCGCATATGGTACATGTGGTGGAACGAAATTGTGTACGCAGGGTCCCAGTTACATCCAACAAAAGTATAAGTTGTAAAAGAAACATAGTAATAAGATCTAATATATGAACTAATAAGGTTAAAGGTCAACCTGGTTTATATGTTTAGACAATTACATAAAATCGTCGTGATGAAGTAACACATTTTTAAATGTTTTTTAAACAAATAAAGGGTTTTCTCAAAAAGAGTGGTTTTGTTGAACTTTAAAATGTAGCTATTAAAGTTTTAATTTTATTTTACAGGATTACTTGTGTCACACAGAAAGCAACAGTTATTTTGTGCTTTAAATGACGTGCGTTACCTATTTGCTCCAGGCCATGCTGATGACAGCTGGATCTCCGTGTCCAAACGTCCTGGCAGACCTACGTCTTCTTAAAGATGGAATGGGGCAATTCTGGAAGGAAGAATATGAAAATCCAATTTTAGAAAAACACAGATGCTAAAATAACTAAAATACAGCTATTTAACCCTAATGTTCATGAAAATTTTATGTGATTAAATAAACATTTTAAAGCTTCAGCAACAAGTCGTACCGGGACGCAGATGTTGCTCTTTCTGATGCACAGCTGGAGCTGGCAGTGCAGATAGACGTGATCGGGATGTCTGCTGAACTCAAACATGTTGAAGGAGAAGTAGCTGGAAGTTTCTCTGCCATTTTGTTTTACGTGCACTGTCTTGTCACTGGGGTTGGCACAGCTGGTTCGAATCCCCCCCAACAAAGAAACCATTTAATCAGCATCTTTGAACTCAAATCCAAAATACATTCAGGAGAACATTCTGAGGAGCAGCTTCTCAGGAGCGTCTCACCCGTCGATGATCAGGTCGTGGCGTGGCGTGCTGTCAGGGTTCGGCTCGCTGGTGGCCCAGCAGGACTCGGTCACCACGGCGATCCTCTTTGCGTCCAGCCCCTTGGTCCTCAGCTCCACCCAGACCTTCTGGTTGAGCTTCACGTCAGTGTCTGTAGCTGCAACTTGAGAGCACTGCTCATCGATGTACGGGGTCATGGTCAGAGTGTAATCCCATTCTCCAGACGTGAGGTGGGACACATAACTGTAAAAATAAATAAAAATATTAAATCCACTTCGTCATAACTTACTGAGGATAAGTTTTGCCTGAAGGACATTACGACAACGGGCCATCAGCACCTGTTGTCTTTGACTCTGAAGGACACGCTCTTCAGCTCAGGCTGAGAGTTGAAGCAGGAGAACTCGATGAACACTTGGTCGTGGCGAACGATGACGTCAGAGGTGTTCTGGCTCATGATGGCGTTGGTGTAGTTGATTTCATTTGCACCCGACTGAAAGATCACACGATCAGACAACGAGACGTTTTTCAGACAGTAACCGTGTCTAACGACGCCAGCTAACCAAGAACCAGCAGAAATATCTCAGCAGAGCCTCGTGAGAGTCCATTTTCTCGTGAAGCTGACAGTTAGAACCTACGGTGATCTCCGCTCCGCAGAGTTTCTCGGTGTTGAAGTTGAACGTCACCATGTTGGACTTCCTGTCCAGCTCCCCCCTGCACCTCTGGTCATTGAGATGTAAGTCTTTGTAGTTGATGCCTCGTTCCTCCATCAGACACTTGGCAAGCTTTAACGAAGCAGAGTTGTGCTTGCAGACTGTTGGCTCACCTACAAAACAATCAAATATGTAAAAAAAAAAAAAGGTTTGAAAGGAGGCGCTATTTATAAGACAGATCTGGGTTGGCAGGCCTCACACTGATGAAGTCCTTCAGATGAAAGATGAAACGTTTCTCCCAAAAAGAAACTGTTCAGATGACCTGCGTTAACACTTTTTTGTGATTTATCTACCTGGACGATTGAGGCTACACCTCTTTTTCTAAAACATTTTGGCCTTGGTTGCCCTCAGGCTGTTTCTGTGAATAGCAAGTTGGCCACCTGAACTACAACATTTGATTGTTATGCACTGATGATCGATTGTTTTGGAAGGATGGGCCCCTTTTTGCATGTGTAGAGCCAGTTTCTGGGAATTCCACGGAGGACTAGTCTGAAACACGTCAATGAGGCGCTATTTATAAGACAGATCTGGGTTGGCAGGCCTCACACTGATGAAGTCTTTCGGATGAAAAATGATACGTTTCTCCCCAAAAGTAAGTGTCCAGATGACCTGATTTAACCCTTTTTTTGTGATCAAAAATATATATAAATTTTTGTAATCAAAATATGCCTTTTTTTGTATTTAGGCCTGTCACGATAACAAATGTTGCTGGGCGATTAATTGTCTCAGAAATTATTGCTGTAAACAATAATATTGTTTGAAATTTGACAATAATTAGTAATTGTAAAATTTAAGAAGAAATGTTGGTTAATTTTTGTAGTACCTTTTTTTGACCACTGGATGTCAGTATAAGACAGTTTGAACCGAAAGATGGATAGTGAGGGAGCGAGCAGCATGTCTCAAGAAAAATGGGAGGGAGGCCCCTTGACGTGACATGGGCTGTCTCGCGTTCCTGTTTTTTGGTTCTCAAAATGGTGAACGCTCGGTGTGGTTTGAATTCGTTAGCATAGCATTTTTTACGAAAAGTTTTTAATAAAAACTCAGTAAACAAGTTCTCAGCTTCTTTTTTCAGAGAAAAACAACTTTTTACACGAAGACACGGGTTTCAACCATGAATTTTGGAGCTTCGATAAGACGGAAGTTTTTTCCCCCGAGGTTGGCCTGTTGGCTTAGCTCGTAATTTAGCTTCTCAGCTTAGCTGCTTTTAACGTCAAAAAAAGCGATTTTGGATGTTAAAACAGATTTTAAAGAAAAAAGATAAAGGGAGGGGTCAGTGAAGAACCAGAGTTGAGCTTTTTGTCATCCTGTGTCTTCAGTAGAAAGAGAAAGATACGAAGAAACGATGAAGCCGATAAATGAAAACGAGGTCGATAATTTTCATTTATCATGCGATTAATTGATTTATTTATAGCGATAGACCTAGTTGTATTATGTCCATCACAGATGTCTTACCCAGAGTGTTGGACTCCTTGTACTTGTAGGCAAACAGAGCTCTGCAGAGGCAGGCAGGTTCTCCGCTGAACTTCCAGCCACAGAACTCATGCTCGCTGCAGATTTTGTCCATGCAAAACGCCTTGGGGGGAGCTACAAGGGAACAGAGATAAATCACTCAATTGATGTGAGCGTCATAATAAAACGTGCATCTGTTGTCTGGGACGTACAGCATTCAGCCTCGGTCCACCAGTCTCCCAGGTTGCTGTTGCCATTCAGGCTGCAGGCTCTGGCGTAGGCCCACAAGAACTGAGTCATGAGGCCGTCCTCCGTGGGATATTTGCACATCGTTTCCTTGCAGGCATTAATGTAGGGTGTTGGGTCAACGTGGGCATTGCAGGAGGTGAAGGGTGCTTTTTTCAACATGTTACAGCTAAAACACATTTGAGAAAAAAAAAAGATCAAATATTGTTTTATTCATCCTCGACCAGTGCAGATGTGATGCATTATGTATTGTGTGATTTTATAACAAATTCTAACACTGCAAGACATTTATTTATTGATTTATTTTACTGTAGATGCACATGCTCACCGTTTAGTCACCGAGGAGCAGCTGATTGTACTGTCAGGATTATCTGTGTACTGGACCTCACAGCTTGGAGGAGACAGACAAGTTTAAGATCATGATGTGTAATATGTACCATGCCTTTCTCATAAAATACACTAGAATTGATTGACTAAATTACAATACACTCAGTGCAGCTGCATATGTGAGCAAACCAGAGATTGTGACTCCATGAAACTCATATGGAACGGGACATATGGGGCTCAAAGTGTGCTGCCAACTATGTGATAAACTAAGATACATTTGTTGGAGTTCAAGTCCAGGCAGGATCCTGTGGATGGAGAAAAGTTTCAGGAGTGATTTGTGACAAAATGGTGTCAGCAAAGGTCAAAGGAAAAGTTTACAAGACATTGGTGAGACCAGCTATGTTGTATGGTCTGGAGACAGAGACATGGACAAAAAGACAGGAGACAGAACTGGAAGAGACAGAAATTAAGATGTTGAGGTTCTCCTTAGGAGAGACAAGGATGGAGAAGATCAGGAATGAGATCATCAGAGGTACAGCACAGGTTGAACAACTGGGAGGTAAAGTTAGAGAGGACACACTGAGATGGTTTGGACATGTCCGGAGGAGGGACAGTGGGTATATTGGTAGAAGGATGTTAGAAATGCAGCTGCCAGGAAAAAGAAAAAGAGGAGACATATGGATGCAGTTAGAGAGGACATGGAGGTGGTTGGAGTGAGGACAGAGGACACAGAGGACAGAGTGAGATGGAGGAGGATGATTCGTTGTGGAGACACAGAAGAGATAATAATAATCATAATAATAATAATAATAATAATAATATACCAAGAATGAGGAGAACAAAAACAAGAAGAACAAGAACAACAAGAAGAAGAACAAGAAGAACAACAAAAAGAGCAAGACCAAGAATATTTTTTCTCATTGATAAACATTGTCTGAAAGGATTGAGCTTGAGTAAATAGTGTTCCATATCATACAGTACATGTGACTCCCTAAAGAAGTTCAAGTTCAAGTTGGTTTTATTATCATTCGCATCCCATGTGGTACATGAGGTGGAACGAAATTGTGTAATCATCGGGATCAGTAAAGAAAAACACAGCTTGTGATACCTGGGGGAGCTGAGCTGAGGGAGCCTTGCTCTAAAAGTATTTCTGGAATCAACACACAAACCATCTGCAGAGCGATGAAGAGGCGCTGAAAAGATTCAGGAGAGAACATGAGTCAGAACAGTGTCCATGCTCAGTCTGGATCAACACAAACATAGGTGCCTATTAACGTTTTTTTATAAAAAGTAAAACATTCCTAAAAGAAATGCAAATTACCCAAAGCCTTGCATGCTAATATTTAAAGACAGCTGTTGAGCAATCTGTTAGCACTTCACATGTGTGTTGGGAAAAGGTTTCAGTTATGACAACACGCTGGTGGGTGATAATCAAGCAGCATTTAGCAGTATATAACTGAAACTTAAGAAAACTAGCTCTTAGTGCTTTAAGGTGTTCCAACTTTGCTTTTTAGACTAACCATGAGTAGTCTTTGGACGTTGGACTCAGGAGGAATGTGTAAGTTATGCACAAGTTCATTACGGGTGTGAATTAAATCTTGGTACATTGTTGCTAATGTGTCGATCGTACCGATCAAAACAAGTCAACCATGATTTAGAGATAACTTGTGACTTTGTGGCATTAAGGTTTCCTCCCCATTGGTAGGGTTCAATTTGAAACATTTCTAAATGAAATCAAAATGTGTTCATAGATATCTAAGCTAAGCATTAGCATTAGGCTAAATTTACTGTGAAACTGAAAGTTTTATAGACGTCTAAACCTTAACGTAATGCAGAAAAGAATAGGACCATTGCATATGACTTTTCTTGGAATTATGAAATTGATATCCAAAAGTCAGAAATCTGAAAATAATAATAATAAATAGATCAAACTCTAAAGTAAGGCAGGGGTGTCACTGAGCTTCCTTGCTATCTAGTCACTCCAAACTTGAGGACGAGCAAGGGCCAGAGTGTACCCATAAAATAAAGGACTGGTAAAATAGTTTAAATCCTTCATGACGACATCTTAGAGTGCACTCCTCTTACATTTCATGAAGATCTGTGCTGTGTAGCAATCCAAGAACACAGAGATGCTGAGCTTCGAGGTGGCAAAACTTGCTGTGACTCCAGTTTCATCCTTGGAGAGCTTAACACCATAAAACTGCTTCACTGATCTGCTGAGGGTCATTGATTTGTTGTTTATCTGCATCGGTGTAAAAAGAAAGAAAAAAAAAAACCAGAGAATGGAACATCTAGAATATTCAAGGTTATACTACAAGTTTAATTAATAGTCGACTACTAAT